TTTTTCCTTCCTTTGTACAGGTAAACATTTAAACATGTTCAATAGTAGAAAAAGATGATGGAAAGCATCTGATCAACTATAGCTTCACTTAATCTTTTTCTGTAGCCCAACAGTTTGTCTAGTTTGTGTGAAGGATATGCTTTTCTGGTAAACTGGGGAGGAAAAAAAAAGGTGTCCTCCTCTGAACCTCGTGTAAAGTCAGTTCTGCAGGTGCCTGTTTCCTCCCAGGTCAGGAAGCACTGGAATGAAGGGTTCATGTCGTTCTCCTTGCTTGCGTTATGCAATCATATGTTAAGATTGCTGATAACGCAATGCTGAAATAAGAAATGTTCATAGACTGTTGAGGTGACTATTGATATGTAGTGGTACAAATATATAGCTACTTTTTAATTACATGTATTAGAATAAAAGATGTTGGGGGTGGGTCTTGCCTCATGTGGCTTAAATAAATAAAAATGGTATTATGGAGTAAACTGGTTAAAGATGCTTCATATGGAATTCCCATTTGTTTATTCTCTAGGAAAAAAAGAGGTTGAATGCTTTTCCATATTTTAATGAACAGGACTAATAAAGCATGAGAATTTAAGATTCTTTGGAAAAGTTAATGCTAATAATGAGGCACAAATCCTCTGTGGAGCCTGAGCCTAGTGGTATCTAAGTGGCTTTGAAAACTGCTATTTCAAATGTGCAAATACTGGGAATAGCAGTATTTGCATTCCATTTAATTTGACAGCTTGCTGTGTTGAAGATGTTTTGGGATGCACGTTGGGTAGATCAGAAAGCAGCTGTAACAGTTAACTCCATTATACAACTGTCTATAATAAGGCACACACATGAATGAAAAAATTCATCTTATTTGCAAAATGTGATAAAGCTTCACAGGCATAACAGAATTTTAGCATTAAGAAATTAATGGATATTTAAGTGAAAAGAGCAGAAAATTGAGCAATAAAGACACATAACATTTTCTATGATCTTTATAATTTGAGGAATTTAACCACAATTTATTTAAAGCGACATGTCTCTGTTCTTCCAGTAGACCCTGAACTTGAACTGTGTGTTTTAAAACATTTGATAGGCTTGATGACAGCAATTCAGTGACATAGCCAGGTAGGACTGCAGCTAGCTAAACTTTGGGGGCGTTAATATGAAATAAAAAAATCAGTACTTTCCTGATGCGCAGGTATGTTTAGTTCCCAAATGTGTTTATCTCTCATTACCTAAATGAAATTAATAAGAAAAAAAACCTAAAGCCAAACTTGGCCTTGGGAGCTCCCAAGCAATGATACCTGCATCTATGATAGTGATCTGGTCGCTTCAGAGTGGTGTGTGGCATAGCACACAACTTTGAGACGCCGCTGCTTATTCAGGGGGAAGACAAAAAATCAACCCCCTGATTTAGGGGGTTGCTCAGAGCTATGAGGTGTCACTTTACTGCTTGTTTTTACAGTAAGAATGATGGCTTAAGCCTGACGAAGGAACTCTCCTCCAAAATCCAGCTCTGTTAGATCGACAGCATCCTGAAAAGTGCTCTTCAGCCCAGTTCCTCTAAACAACGTCTTTGGAGTTGCACTTGCACACTTTGCTTTATCTGGATCAACTGATTTAATTCAGAAATACAGAAGGCCAGGCTTTTTATTTCAGAGTTGCAAACAAGGTTACAAAGAAAAAAAAACATTACAAAATCAAATTCTAGATTGCATTTAACAGTAGGGTTCTTCTTAACTGTTTCTGTATCCCTCTTATTGAATTTGGTGTATTCCTATTGAAAAATCTTCTGACAAGCTCTTTTGTATTGCCTCTTTAATCAGATCCTCCCTCTCCCGATTGCATTATATACATTTAAGATTAATCTCTTTCAGTTTTCACGTAAAATATCATAAAAATATGCACTCTACCTGCATCGTGTTACATCTGTAATTGTTGATACGTTCTGAGATATGGGGAAGACTAAATGACATGCTCTCAACACGCATGACAATGGTGTCAGAGTATTTTGTCCAAATTATCTTTGCACCTGGGTTTTCTGCTGCCTTAGCACCTCCTTTACTGGATAGGCTTCCTTCTTTCTTGCTATAAGTAAAGCTGTCACTTTCACCTGAAAGAAAGCTGAAATACTGTGTTTCGTATGTTATCTGTTTCATGTGTTTCCTGTGCTATATAGCATCACAACACTTCTTCCCCCCCGCCCCGTGATACCTCAAACTTTGGTTTTGCAGTTAACAACTGTAAGCCATGGAAATTTGCAGCATTACTTTAAAGAATCTGTAGTACATGGATTATTTTTAACTTAGTCATCTTTTATTCTGTTGAAAGCGATTGTGACCATCTAAAGGAAGATAAATTGCTCAAGTGGTTCTTTTTCAGATTAGCAAGCTAACTTAGTTTGAATGTCAGTCTCAAAAGGGGCTTCCTAGTAACGCTGGCAAAACAACCTAATATATTTGTCAGTCTCCATGTTGGAGGAGCTTTGGAAATAAATGGCCTATGGTTACTGAATAGCAAGAAGATTCTAAACAATTTCTAAAATTCCTTGGCCCGAAGAGAAAAGAAACTGCTTCTATTTCTTCACTAATTATGCAATCCAGTGGTATCAGAATTGCAGTAAATAGACATGGAAAAAAAATCTGAAACTCTTGCACTTACTAAGCAATCATTTCTTGCACTATTACTTAATTTTAGAAATTCTTAAAGGATGAATGAGAAATCAGCTGGAAGATCATAAACGCAGCAAACTACATGCATGCAATTAAGTGTCATGGTTTAACCCCAGTAGGCAGCTAATACCACACAGCTGGTTGCTCACTTCCTCCTACAGTGGGATGGGGAAGAGAACTGGAAAGGTAAAAGTGAGAAAACTTGTGGGTTGAGATAAAGACAGTTTAACAGGTAAAGCAAAAGCTCTGCGTGCAATCAAAGCAAAATAAGGAATCATTGACTACTTCCCGTCAGCAGGCAGGTGTTATCTCCAGGAAAGCTACTTGGGAAAACAGATGCCATAATTCTGAACGTCACTCCCCTCCCTTCCTCCCTCCCTCCTTCCTTTTCTCCCCCAGCTTTTATCGACGGGCACAACATCATATGGTATGGGATAGCCCTTTGGTGAGTTGGGGTCAGCTGTCCTTTGTCCACTCCCAGCTTCTTGCACATCACCAGCCCACTTGCTGCAGGGCAGTGTGAGAAACAGAAAAGGCCTTGATGCTGTGTAAGCACTGTTCAGCAATAGCTAAAACATGGGTGTGTTTGTGTTATCACAAATCCAAAAGACAGCACCATACCAGCTACGATGAAGAAAATTAACTCTATCCCAGCCAAAACCAGAATGTTAAGATATGAAACAATTTGATGCATGACTTGCTGTTATTTATCATTTTTGTATGTACAAAGAGTGTACATAATAGTTTTTTGGCTGATGCAGCTTGATACTTTATGGCCAATAATCTAAAACTTGTGGAGGACAGATGATTGGCTTGTGTATGAGTTGAAATTTTTCTTATTTATTTAAAAAAATGATCTATGAACATAACTGTGCTTGTTTTAAAGCTATATATTGGTAGGAGTAGTTTGACCTTTGTGTCTTTGGGCGTCCAATTTTCAACACATGGTCTCTCACCCGGGCAAACATAGAGTCTTCTGGGCAAGCCCATGCCAACCATGTCCTCTGGTACCTGCTGCGTAGGGCTGGAACATAGAGGTGAGGGAGGAGGGAAAGGCTTCTGTGACCTGCTCCAGGTCGTCATGATGCTCTGGAAAGGAGGACACTGGCAGTTTTCTGCGCTCAGAGAGATATCCTGCGATTTGGGGAGGAAGTCTTAGACTGAGTAAAAACAACTTTCATATTGAATTTGACCTGTTAAATGCCAATTAGATCTCATTGGTCTAGATCTGTTGCTAAGGTTTCTCTTCCCTCTTTTCTTGTTTTTTTTTTAAACAAAAGATGCTTATCAGTAGAAATTATTCTTTTGGGTCTTAAGTTTATGATAAATATGCTTGAAATGAATTTTTTTATACATGAGCACCAATGTGCAGCATTTAAAGCAGCTCTAAAGTTTCAAATGTGCTGATGATGGAGCTTTAATGCTATGTGCCTCAAATTAAAGAGTGGTTCTTGTAGACCCAGTAGTTGAACTTTTATTTTTGCATCTCCGCAGTAAAGCAAAATCTGGCATACTGCTGCTTCTTCATCAAAATAGGGAGAACTGTTTACCAGACATCTACTACGAGTCAGAGATGGAGATGAATAGAAATGTAGATTTGCGCAGGAAAGCTTGATTTTTTTTTTTTTTTTTTTTCCCCCCCAACAGTGGGCTGGAAAAAATGAATATATTGCAAGTCAGGAACTGTTTAGGGCTTGTTTACATATTGGTTACTACATAATGTCTTTCGTTCCACAGTTTCTAGTTCAAATCTTTAATGTTACTAAAGGAAATGGTGAGGTGTTTCTTCAAAAATCTTCATTGCAGACAGAACTTAGATCCTGTTTCATCTCTCACTTGACCAACACTGTCAGGTGCTGGTGGATGGAAAAGTCTCTGCAAGCTGACAGCTTCTGTGGGATATTTTGTAAGTCATTGGCACAGTGTGCTTTGAGTTAAAGTATTACAGGTGTATCCCTCTGCTGCTTCTCTGTCTGTTGTCTCGGAGATTAGTTGTGTATTGTTTAATACCCTACGTCACTAGCCATCGCATAGGTGAAGTGTCTGAATTAAATGGATAAGGAAACAATTTTATTTTTAATTTCCTTTTTTGAAAAGAATTAATGTATGGAAAGAAGGAAAGAATGCATGCAGGGGCTTGAGAAATACATGATTAGTGCATGCAGGGGCAGTCTGTACAATGTGGAGGCTGGATATGAAGGAGCACGCTTGTAAACCCTTGTAAGCTGGAGGAGATGCCGGCTTTGCAGAGCAGGTCACAGTTCTGAAAGATCTCTGCAGCTTCATCAGTGGGATGGTGCCTCAGCATTCTCTCATTTTTTCCATCCTTTTTGATTGATGTAGCTTCATCCGAGGAAGATGACAACAACCATGAAAATGCAGCTATTCACAAAGAGGCAGCAAGAATCCTCACAGTTAAAGGTTTTTATGTTGGGTGTTCAGTCTCAGAATTGAAGTGGCTGAGGTTTCTTGGAAAGGTTGGTCTGGTCTGTGCTGCAGGGGAAGGCATTGGCCCCAACTGTGTTTCTTGGATATGGTTATGTTTCTCTCTGGACTGTGGCACACTGACAGATTTCTTTCCTCCGCAAATTTTGTAGGAAGGAGATTTGGTTGCCTTTTGAGATAATAAAATGCAAACAGAAGTAGAATTTTGTTAGCTATCTTAAACTAAGCATTGAAGTTAGTTACTGCTTTCTTCTTGCAGTTGATATTCAGAAGTATTTGCCATAATTCTCCTTTATATGTTTGTATGCTGGAAAATTCTCAACCTCAAACACAAATGAGACTGTGACCCTTGGAAGCTTGTTGCTTATATAGTTATGCCTGAAATAACGGTGCAGTCAGATGTATATTGATGGTGATGCAGTAAAACTGACTCACCTGTTTTGTAGATTGTACAGACCTTTCAGTTTTAACAAAGGTTATTCATGAAGCAGGTGTTTTGTCTTCTACAGTCGTGTGAAATACCTTCTTAACAGCATTGGTGGAAAGTTTCTTTCTTAAGCTAAAATATTTTTTAAAGTTTGTCTTCATTAGCCATGCAAAAGTTAAAAAATCTGCCTGAACAGACAGAATACAGATTTCTATTTTCTTGTCCTGCATTCTGCCTTGCTTTGTTTTGGGGCAAAGGAACCAGAGGTTTTAGACCAAACAAAATCGGAGTGTTTGTGATAAACCTTTTTATCCATACTGTTTGAGCATCCAAAATGGCCAAATCTTGCTTGTTTAAAACTAAATTTTAAACTAATTTGAGACATGGCATTTAAACAACTTCTTAAAGTAAATGTAGCCGTGACATCAGTTAATGAAAAACTTGAAAGAAATCCTTGGAAAAGTCTTGAAGTCTTATTGATGTTACTGCTTCAGATTTCATGTTACTGCTTCTGGGTGGAAGTCAGAGCTTGGCTTTTCTGCTGAACTACAGGGATGCTTATTGACTTATTGAAGGTCCCAGTGATGGCGGTGTTTGAGTATTGTACGTCTTTTACTACTAAATGCCTGTGCATAATTACCTTTTGCATAGGCTTTTACTTTCACATCAAATTCTGTATTTTTAGATGAAAGAATTTCAGATGGTTTTTATATGACTAATATATTAACTCTTATAAAACAACTGAGAAGTAGGCCTGTCTCTGTGAATCTCCGTTTTCTCAGGTGTTTGAGGTTTTATGTAAGCTTGTGGTTTCTCTGAAGTTTCTGAATGGCGTAACTGAAACTGATCAGCTTCTCATTGATTTTCCTCTGTGTTGTCTTGCAAAGAGGTGAATAGTGAAGGTCCTTGGGCTTATTTTCCCCTCATAGGCCACAGCTTCATCTTTTGCTTTGGCTACTTTGGGTGCGGTGGTGGTTGGATCTGCATTATCCTGGGCTCACGTGTTTTGTTGTCACAAATGAATTTCCATGTGCTGTTAAAGTGAACTTATGTTGCTGCTGGCTGATCCTGCAATTGACTTAAACCAATCCAAAATCCATCATTATGGAAAGAAAGATATTTTACTTATGTGTATAAATACTGTTTCTCATAAAATAGTGCATATGTGGTTCTTGTGGTGTGTTACAGGGCGTCTTATGTCAGTTAGTAAGGTATCTGGGGACAGGTACGTGAAGTCCTGAAGGGTTGGAGAGAGACTACTGTCCCCTTACTTTCCCTCTGTCGCTGCCCGATATGTACAAGATGAGGCTTTTGTTGTCTTTGGAGTAGTAAAAATTAGATAAATCAAGCTAAAGCTTAAATTTTGCAGTGAGGTCTTAGGTCTCTGTACCCGCTGGAGAAAATTTTTGTCAAGTGGACACACAGGGTTTCCCCTCCTTATGCCCTCACTCTTTGCTTCAGCTTACCGTATAAAACTAGAAGTATGTCTTGGCTCTCTTGAAATGGCCGTGGAGAAACTGAGAAAGAGAAATTTGATTGAATAATTTGTTTTGGTAAAGTGCAGAGAGGCCCTGTTGAAGGATCAATGATGTGTTGTACCAGGCACTGCAAGATGTTACTTGCCCTGAGTTCTAGATGTGGTCTGTCAGAATTAATTTGACACAGGTGGTGTTACACCTGTTTCTAATTAGTACTTAGGTTACATCTTCTGTTATTACTTTTCCATAGTGTCAAAAATGGAAGTAAATACAGAGAAATAAGACAGCCATTTCTCCCACTTCATGGTTCTTTCTGTAGAACTCATTTAGTATCTGCCATAAATGAAGTTATAATGCGTTGGTGAAAGGAAAACAACCACCAGCAATCCTTTTTGATTGTGTTTTTCGTTGCCTGTGCTGTATTCATGTGACAAATGTTTTTTTGCTTAAAGCAGGCAAATCAACAAGCTGGGAAGATGGTGGCTGGGGAGCCTGGGATGAAGCAGAATTACAAGAACCTGTAAGTTCATATAAATATATATACATGTATATGAGTTTTCATTGCTAATTTGCCTGTTATAAAAGACTTTTCCACTTGTTTGTGTGTGTGGTGTTTTATTTTTCTCGTATATAGTTATCACCTGGACAAGAAGGATGTTGACCAGTGTTTTAAAAGTGACTGCTTGTTTGTCCCTTGCTCCTGTAATTGTTTCCAAGATGCTACCTATTGCGATAATTACTCATATTCTTCTGTTCTGTAGGTGTTTTCTCACTAGAGTATACACACATCTTTCTCTGCTGCTGCAGCTGGGGTTATCTTTTTTTGTCCTATAGCTAGCCAGGAGGACATGGTGGTGGAGTTACAATAATCTACCGTGAATTAATATAAACCAAAGACTCCTAAATCATGGACCACTGACACAAGCATCTTTTTAATGATCACACAGTACTCCTTTTATGTTGTGATGTGTGGATGGTGTTACAGGAGGGATCAAATTATGTATGTAGGATGGGGCAGCACTGTTGCTCTTTAAGGGGGGAAAAACATCCCTCTGTCCAACTAGTTCAACTAAGAATAACATGTCTAGTCTATAACTGTTGGTAAGGCTGAGACTTCTAGCTGCCAGCTGACTTGCCCAAAATGTTAGGGAAGCTGTCTGTGTAGAAATCCTCTGCACCTGAATGAATCATCTGAACAGAATTGCTTGATTAATTCCCTGTTAGAGAGAGCTAAGGGGTAGACTGAGAAATCCAGATCTCACCTTGCTAACAAAACTCTTGTATGTGCTGTCTTTATCTCAGCATGCAGGGAGTACACCCAAGGAGTTGGGCAGTATCCTTGTAAATACTTACTTCAGCAGGGAAACAGATTTTTCAGCTGAAGTGAGAAGCAAATTGAAACAAGCATCGTGTCTCTCAGGGATGAATCACTGACGCTGATGTTAGTGAATAACAACAGTATAAAAACTTCTTAAATAGGATGGGTATTCAGCTCCCCTATAACTGCCATGAAATGAGTGTGTTTCTCAGGCCACGTCTTTGTAAGGTGTGCTGTAAAGTTTACAACTTAATGAGGAGAACAAATGCTTTGTTTACTACTTATGTTGTAATTTGATAGAACCAGCAGGTGTTGCTAAATTGAAATTGTCATCTTTTTCACTCTTTAAAATGTCAAACTCTTCTGCCAGGTAGTTCCCACCCTTCTTGCTAAAGACCTCCTTCTCCTCTGCTTACTTGTATTCTTCCAAAGTTGCTAGTGGTTCCAGGTGAAACTCTTCAGAAAGAACAAACTGTCATCCACAGCAAACAGGTTGTTCTGTGTAGAAGCATATAAATACATGAGTCTGTGTGTCTGAACACACACCAGAACGAGTGCATCAGTCTAGCACAGAGTTGAGAATTATTAGTATAACAATGAATTCCGTTTTTAAGACTTTTAACTGTTGGCACAATGAATTCCCTTTTTAAGACTTTTAACTGTTGGTTCATTTGCATTATAGTTGGTGTAAAATGCATCTTTTCTTGGAATTACTCAAGTCACCTGGACAAGTATCTATTTCATGAAACTTAGCAACTTTTGAGAAGACATTGAAAATTTAAAAAAAAAAGTTTTCTTCTATGAAGTGTCTTTTTGTGGAACTGATTAACTGTTTTGTAGGGATGGCGATGTGAAATGCTGTCATAAATGCTGATTTTAATCATTCTGTCTTTCACCTTTTAAAGTAGTTTCTTTTGACAAGTTCAGTGCTTTTCCTGTTTTAACTCTTAGCTTATTTGCATCACTAACATGAGATGGCCATATTTTATGTCTTTAGATTTCAGTGTCTTCGTTTATGCATGCAGATAACTTCATTTAAATTCTCTGAAATATAATTTTAATTCCTTTTAATCTTTAGAGAAGCCTTTCATTTCTTTTTCCTCAGTTTGAAAATAATTACATTAAAAATTACTAAAAGGATTTTCTTTGGGTTTTGGTTATGTGTTTTTACACATGGTACATTTATCTCTCTCATGAGGAGCTAAAGTTGTCATGAGTATCCCACTCAACTTCGTCACCTCTTTATAAAGTTTTGAAAAATGTCAGTAATTGGGGAAAATGTATTGCTCTAGAACTTGGTATCCATCGACAGACAAAAATGACATGAAAATAGGATGTAATCTTGCACAAAGCAAGTGATAGTGTGGACAAAGATAGGTGGCTGAATATTTGTACTGCGCTAATGTAGACTTTATGATGGACATGCAGGGTATTCTTGTGCGCACAAAGTGACTCTTTATGGTACAACCTTATGAAAGGAAATAAATACAACGAATAGCTGATTACGAGTATGATATGTAAATTCTTCATACATTTTTTTTTTTTTTCCTGCCTGGAGTAGATGTGTATATTTTCAGGTGCACGCAACTTTATTACAACAGAATAAAGTGCACAGACCAGAAAATGATCACTGAAGTTGTTGGGCTTTTTGTTTGTGTATAGCTGCTTTGAGATACTAGAGGATGGAGTAGTATTTTGGAGGGCTAGGAGGAGGTAGGATTGGATATGTGGCTATGGAAATGGAGACTGTGGACAGGTGAAAGTGATTTTATTGCTGTGATCAAGGTAAGAGGACAGAGCTAAGAAAACAGGAGTAGCATCTCTGAGAGACCGTGTAGCAGTCTGCTCAAAACCTATTACCTACTTCTGCCTTCGAACTGTGATTAGCAGGAGCTACCCATGTTTGTTCTTCAGTCAAATATTTGGCTGGTTGCTCACAGGGAAAAAAAGATGCAATTCTTTTGCTTTTATACGTAATGATGGTATCTAACTTACCCATTGTTAAACCCTTAATATTTGGCACTTCTTAGTTTGAATTTGTTTCTTTGTAAAGTTCCTTGTTGTGATACCCTGTTGCATGTTACCATGAGGCTTTAGTGTGAATGCCAACTTACTTTCTTCGTACATGCATATATTTACTCAATGCTGGTCAGTGTATAAGCTTGGATAATTTTTTTTAGTATGGATTATAATGAGAATAACTAAAGAGATACTTTCCAGTCTCTAATCTATTATAATAAAACTTTAAGTCTCATTCTTTTAGTGTCTCTTTGGTGAAAGGAGAAGATTTTGAGGAGTAGAGTTAGTGATGAGTACTTCTTTGTTTTCTGTTTTGTAAGCATGCAGATAGAATTAGCGCAAGGCTGATGCATTTCTCATGGCTTTTCATGCAAGTTGGAGCTCTAGTGACTTGCTAGGTAATAGTCCATTTGGCACTGGTATTGAGGGCAAGCCAAAATGTTGTCACAAATCTTGCAAGTGCTGCTGTGTTTAAAAATTGTTGCATACGTTGATTAAAGCTTTACCTTTAGGAAGAAGAGGAATCTGCTTCCAGGAACCAGAGAAATTACTGGCTTCAGGAGTGTGTGTTGTCCTTGTCACCAACAAATGACCTGATGGTAATAGCTAATGAACAGAAAGCAGTCTTCTTAGTGCGTAAGTATACATTCTACTAAGTATACATGCTAGTACATTTAATAGTAATCAGGACAAGATTGTGTCGTTGTCCCCCATCCCACCTGCTTACCCCCAAGTCGTATCTTCAAGAATTTTGGAGTGGTTTATAGTACACATCATGCATTTTCTAGGTATTGCTTGGCAAGTAAATTGTTTTGTCTTTGCTTCTCAGCAATATTTTGATCTGAGAATACTATTTTATCATGAATAATTAAATTTAATATTTATCATAACTACCCAGTTGTTTGAGATGCTCAGAGAGATTGACATTAATTGTGCTCAATAAGCAAACTAAAACTTTTGTATTAATTTTAGCCATTAAATATTTGACCTTATTTTTCTTTTCTCTGGAAAAAAATGAACTAACTGAGCCAGTGTTACATGAAGGAGGGAGTACTGAGGTGGATTGTTTTTTAAGGTTTCCACCTCTGATAGAGAATTCTTCTTCATCTTGAAGAATGGGTGGCTTTACATTTTACTCTAAAGCAGGGCTCTCAGTACTCTTTAAAAGGTACCCTTAGTAATATATGAACGCTAATCAGCCAGGTGCTGTTTACATATGTGCTGTTGCCTAGGGTGCTGGTGCTATTAACAGCTGCAGTTGGTGGCACGTCAGCATGATGAAGGGAAACCTGACATGAGGAATATTATGCCATTTTAAAACAAAACCAGGCTGTTGAAGCTCAGAGTTGCATCATTAGGCAGATTGCATTGAGTTGCCATGCTGCATGTGTCATTCCCTGCAAAGTTGTGTTCCAAAACTGATGTAGGTTAGTCACTAATTTTTCACAGAAAATAAAAAGATAGCAGTATTTCTCAGAAAGTTCCTGTTGGATTAAGAGTAAGGAGATGATTTAGCTCATCTGCTGGAGAACTGCTTCTGCTGAACTGCACAGAGGCAAGTTACAGCGCAGTGGCAGAAGTGTCCCTGTCTCAGGTTTTACATGTCAGACAAATGGCACGCAACACTAATTTCTTTTTTTCAGTTGTCCATTGGCACCTGGGAGATGACTTCAACAATCAAATGTCATCTCTGACAGCACTCAGTGAATAACAAAGTGTAGTCTTTTCTAACCTTGATTATGATGGGATGATTAAAAATTGTCAGATTTAATGTAGGATTCCCATGTCTGTCTTGGGGGTTAAAATTAAAATTTTCTATTTGTTTAAGCTCATCTTCAGTAACCATCCCAGAAGAAGTTTGCCCTTGCTTAGTACTTTTCTCCTAAGGATCTCTGTTTCATTAATTGAACCTTTTAAAATTTGATGAAGTAGATATTACGGTATAAATCTTTTTAAATGAAACTAGGCATTCCAGAATTTCAGTAGTCTGTTGTTCCATGTACATTTCTAAGAGAACATGGGAGTTCTTTAGAGAAGTCACTAAAAATGTAGTGTTATTTTTATGGTTGTCAAGGTTTGTAATTGGTACTTAATCTAAGTGGGGTAGGATGTATTGTACAGAAGAGAAGGATTAGGAATAGAACTACATCTGTGAGGTGCAAGGCATTACAGTTTTATAGATGGTGTCTTTGTTCTTAATGGCAGCTAAATGGAAGCACAGTGACAAGGGAAAAGAGGAAATGCAGTATGCTGTTGGTTGGAGCGGCTCTCTGAATGTTGAAGAAGGGTAGGTGTTGAAATGCAACTGTGATTACAATGTCATTTTCACGTTTAATAATCAGTAGCGTATGCTTTTTACTGTTGAAAACAGAAATGGAGTAACGTGGGTAACCAGAAACATTGTCTGCAAAGGTTACTCTTCATGCATAGTGTGATATCTCAGGACAAGTTCATACAAATTATCATAGGTACTGTGTGCAAATCAGTGTATTTCCATGTAATGTAAACATTTTAATAGATCTGGGTTATCATGCTTTTTATAAGTGCCTGTTCCAGAAGGGGAAAAAAGTATATGTACCCTTTTTGAAAATCTGCTTTTATAGTAGAGATGAAATTTTGTTACAGGGTGTTGCAACTGGAAATGTATGAAGTTGTTTTAGAAATACTTCTTCTAATTTTCAAAACCTCAAGCAAATATGAAGTCATCTCTCTGATCAAGAAGTCACTCCAAATTATAAGCAGTGAGCAACATTCATGTGATAGAAAAAGTGTTCATCTTTTGAGATGCAGTGAACTTCATGTATGCTTTTAATTTTTTACCTCCATTGTAAATATCCTCTTACATGTTTCAGTCACTTTTAGACATGGTTTTGGGCTCCAAGTCATTTAGCGGACTTGAAAAATTTGCTTTGGTCATACATTTGGTATTTATACAATATTTCTGCTCGATCTGTCTTCAAATAACCAGACAGATGCTTTCTCGAATCTCCCATATGGAAGAGGATTTTGCATTTCGTTATTAAGTTTGCAGCCTTGAGTTGCTGTCTGCCTTTGAACATGCTCCCTATTGGCTTCAAGCTTCTGTTATGCTGCAGGAGGTGTTGTCTTAATCAGCCTCTCTCCAATCTGTAAAAATTATAGTCCTTTTTTATAAACCTGCTGCTGCCACGCATTTGAACTGTTTTATGTGCATCTCTAAGTTGTTCAGCCCCCAATACCACTGAAATTACCCTGTCATCTTTTATTAAAAAAAGGAAAAGAAATTCTGTTTGGGAATAGGTTTCTTACTACTGTTACAGTCCCAAGAGACGCCATCATATGGAACAGGTAGCTTTCTTTAGATAGACACAGTTATATTCTCTACATCTTGATTTAAGGCTTGCGAGTGTTTCCTGTAGGTGAGGGTTCTATTTCTGTGGAAGTGGAAATATGGCAATTACTGTCAGATTGTTGAAAGACTTGACTTCTTTTTTTGCCCAAGGTTGCCTTCAACTGATAACGTTCTGTGGTGGCTAAGCTTTGCCATTGAAAGATGAGATTTCACTGAGATATTTAACGTTGCCTTGAAGTTGTAATTGAATTGCAACTCATGTCATGCTTGCATTTAGAAAGCTTTTTTTCTGCAGTTGTCTAGCCTGATTATTTAATCACTCCTTGGGGAATGGAGGTGACCTGAAATGCAAATAATCAACAGTACTGCAGGCATATATGCTTTAAGTGCTCTTTAGGATGTCGTCTTGAATTTATATGCTCTTTCGTAAAACCTTTGTACTGCTTCTGTTTCCCCAGTGTGAAACTTTCTGTTGTGGTAACAGTTAAATAACTTTTGATTTGACATATTGAAGTCTGCTCATCTGCTTGCCTTCTGCATGCTTTGCCTGCCATGCATTGAGCATGCTCAGTTATTGCATTAACTGGGAAGACCATGTTAGCTCTTCAAATGCTCTCAAATTATAAAGCGGTGAAATGCAATGGATATAAAATCTACCTACTTGCGTAATGTATTTAAAAAATTTATTTTGTTAAGTATAGTTCAGATTTTTTTAAAAAAGTGGTTGTTCTTGGTATATCATTATAGATCAGAAAAAAATTATTTACCTTTATGTACATGAGATTTAACTTGAATCTTTACTGAAGAGTACTGGTAGAATAATCAGCCTGTGAATGATGAAAGACAACATTAACAAGGGGTAATAAGCACTTATGCAATCTGTTTGGGCACTCTTGAACTTGTAATTGAAGATGTCCTTAAAATGAAAGGGTGTTTTTTGCCTTTTTAGTATGAATTTGATAAATTGTGTGCTGCATTAGTATATTGTTAAAATATTAAAAATGCTGACTCAGCGAGATCTTTTGTGTAGAGTGAAATTTCACAACTGGAGAAAAAAATATGCTTATTAGTTTTATCTTTCTGTTTCTAGTGAATGTGTGAGTAGTGTATTGTGTATCCCATTGGCAAGTCAGAAGAGGTAAGGATTGATATTCTTATGTATATGCATCATCAGTCTCCTTACATCACACTTTGTCTGCAGCTTAGAGCAGGATTTGTGTTTAACATCTAGTATATCTTTGTGAAACAGGAGTTCCACAGGCCGTCCTGACTGGACCTGCATTGTCGTTGGCTTCACCTCTGGCTATGTTCGCTTTTACACTGAGGTATGTTTCTCAGCGTGGCAGGCCCACAAGCAAACTATTGTAATAAACATCTATCTCTGTCAGACTTGTTTCTGCAGATAGTGTTTTTTGCCTCCTCTAAGAAAAGGAACAGATATGTTGATGCTTATTATTCTTTCTCTTCTAGAATGGAGTACTGCTTCTTGCACAGCTTTTAAATGAAGATCCTGTCCTACAGCTTAAGTGCAGAACCTATGAAATTCCCAGGCATCCTGGTGTCACAGAACAGGTTTTGTCAGATTATTTCAAAAGCGAAGTGGCAGTGTTATGGGGTATGGAAGGGAGTCTTCTCTGTGAATCCTCTGTGTCCTTTACCAGTTTTTGATGGGTGGACAATTCCTTAGAGCAAGAGACTCTGGGTTTCTTGTTCTACGTATTCATGCCTGTATAGTTTGAGGATTCAGAATTTCTTTTTATTTTTTGGAGTATTTAGTTAGCTGTGTAGATCTGTTCTGTTTTTCTCTGTAATAACCTTGCAAAGGAAGGCTTCGTTCATTTCCTGTTTATTTATTAATGTGCACAAAATAAGATAATGTATGGGCGAAAGGAGAAAATTAACTCTTGACTTTATATCACCAAATTAGCATTTATGTGCCCAAGTGGTAATTCAGGCGCTAATCCAGTTGCAGAATTTGGCTCATAAAACCTTGGTACTTGCATTCTAGACAGACTTGTTTTTCTGTGGCCTTCACAAGGTGCTGTAACTTTTTTGTTTTCTCCCTAAGCCATAAAATATGTTAAGCAAACATAAAAGTCATTGAAAGAAGATAAAAATATAAAATTATGTGCCTAAATAACTTCTTCATATATTGGGTGGTTTAATACTGAATTTCTGTAGTTTGACCTTATTCTGTTGCCTGGGGCTTGTTAGATATTAACTCTCTGGATGTAATCCTCATCTTTGTGTAGTTAATGGTATGAAAAGCTAGAAAAGAAGCTGTTACAACAGTAACTGTGATTTTTTTTTTTTTTTTTTTTTTTTGTTCCCCTTTTCCTTTTTTTTTTCTAAAAAATAAAAAACAAATTTTTTT